CCAATACCAAATTGTGCATAACTTAAAAATTGAATATCTCTGCTTAGATAAGCCATCCGCTGCTCATATTTTAAATATGTTAGTTTCTCGATAAGAGTGACCATTTCACCCGAACAAGGTCAGCCTTACTGCTCAACAGTTCCTGACCTTCCATTGTTAGGAAAAATATAATTGTTCTGTTTTATTCTTGATAAGTGGTTGCTGTTCTTTGAATTGTTTCTTCTTTTTATCCCTGTTCTATATTTCTTTTGCTTTCAGATATTTATACGCAATCTTCAATATCATTAATAATCTTTTAGTACTAGAAATAGCTATCATGAATTCTCCACTGAATCAGTTATATGACCAGCCCGACCAAATATGGTGGAGTACTTACAGAACACTTTCTAAACGCAGTATTCTTTATATGTTCCTCTGTACAGTCATGCTGATAAGTTTTGTTATTATTTTCATTGGCGGAACTCAGAGCAAGTATTACCAAGGTTTTTTGATGAAATTCAAGCCGACACTATTTGATTCGTTCAACGCATCAGCAAAACAACTCGAACACTCCACCCAAGTTTCCGAACATAGACATGCATTAGCAGAAGATCTCAAACTTAATGAAACACTGCAAAATAGAGCCAAAAATCGCAGCAATCGATACTATTTAAATGACTTCGAATATTTTCGAATGATACGAGACGAGTTTCCTCATACTGAATCTGCTGCAAAACTTGGATATAATACAGGCATTGGACCTCTTTTGCCAACAGCATTGGATCCTAAAGATGTCTTATTTATTATCATGGGCAGCGTAAAATATATTCATAAGGCTAAGCTTCTCACAGAAACATGGTTACAGTGGTCTCAAGGTAACTTTTTCATCTTTGCTGATGCTGCTAACACAAGTATTCCTTTAACAACTTTACCCCGACTTGAAAAGAAACCTTCCAGAGAAGATGCACAACATAGACAATTGTTAGGATCACAATGGATAATTAGTAATAAGTCTGAATTAATTAAGAAAGTAAAATGGTTTGTGTTTGCAGATGATGATACATGGATTAATGTACCTGCCCTTCTATCCTATCTTCAATGGTTTGATCATCGATTGTTGTTATCAATTGGATACATTTGGGACGATATGTGGATGCCAGGATGGTCATACTTCTCTGGAGGTGGTGGTGTTGTCTTTTCTCAAGCTGCATTTATATCAACTATGCCTGCGATGTATACGAAAGAATGTCCTTTTCAATCATGGAATGATGTCACTTTCATGTATTGTCAAAAACAAAAAGGAGTGACCAAAATTCATTCAGATCGATTCTTTTATGATAAGGCTCACGTCATCAGTACATCTCATCATCTTTCGCCCGTTTCTTACGTTGGTAAAGTGACATTTCACTATATTAACGATGCTGCTATTGCTAGAAGAATGACATGTGATGTCGCTGTTTATTGGAAATGGCTGATCAAAGGATGCGATAATGTCAAGCGAGATGATATGCCCCATTTGCGTTTTTGAAAGTTGAATATTTTCAAAAAGTTGAGTAATTAGGAAAGAGATAAACTTGTATGAAATGTTACTATAAATGTATTATGATGATCAAAACAGAATTGATAGTTCATCTGAGGTTAATTCACTCTCTTTTATACTGAAAGACAATGGTATAGAATGATTCAAATTTCAATTAAATACTTTTCTCCAAATTCATTACTTGTGTAATTTCATCGATAGTACAGTTCTGATTACAAATCTTATGTACACAGACACAAGCAGAGATCTCAAAGTTAAATCATTGAAGCATATTTACATGTATCAATCAAAAATAAATAATTAAATATTATGATCTTTTTCTAATTTTATCCTCAAACGAAATATGCATTTCTTCGACCACTATTTACTTATTACTCATATTGCATTAAACAAACAACAAAAAAAGAAATCTGATAAGGTACCAGCGTGAATGTATGTCAGCGCTTCTTTCACTCAAATGCACCATGTACTTTTCTATTTCGATCGATTGGTGTCTTTCATATTTAGTTTTATACGATAATGACATATGAAAAACATTTTTCCGAACATGTGTAGCCGAAAGATCTACCTTAATAGAGTTGATTCGGGAAATCTGACATGGCCATGACGCAACACTTTAGAAATTACTTTCTCAAAAAGAAAGATTGTTTCGACATACTAACAAGAACAACATCGAAAACAACCAGAACGAAAATAAACACCTGTTAGCGTTTGCATACAAGACGCAGTCAATCGACTACAACAACCATCTCGTGAGTCAATATATTGTTCAAGAATTTCTCTCATACGAATCTTGCCATTCAATATTTGGAAATGACCCGGATAGATTTGATCTATTTCATGCTCTTGTAACCAATCCAGCATACGATTCGTACTTCGAAGATACTCTTGAACAGAGGAAGTTGGTAGCCAATCAAGTAGATTACCTCCATGACCACATTCATACACGAAGTCTCCAGTGAACAATGCTTTCTCTTTCGGATAATAGCAGACGACGCTTCCTCGCGTATGGCCAGGCATATGTAGTACTATGACTTCATCCCCACCACCTGAAATAAAATTCCATGAATTGTTCTAGATAACAGTGAATAAAAGTGATTTCAGACCTAAATCAATTCGATGTCCATCCATGATGGTATCACATTTTGTCGCTGGCACTCGATATTGGTGTGCAGAAAAACCATGATAAGGTTGTTGGAAAAAATGCGTTGGTTGCACATAGTTCAATGTTTCTATTTGTCGACCATTTCGTAGACCATTATAATCATCTTGATGAATCCAAATTTCACTTTCATTCTCGAAATGTTGTGCTCCGCCACAGTGATCAAAATGATTATGCGTACATAAAACAATACATTTACGATCTTGACTGAGTAAATGAAGATTTTCTAAATGCTTTTTCAAATTACAAACACCTAAGCCACAATCAATGATCAAATCATGTGCAGTACCGCGTAGAAGCCAAATATTTGATCGATTGCCTTCAAAGAAATGATCTTCAGTAGTTAAAAATAAATATGAATTAATTTTCTTTGTAGTAAACCATGACGGATGACTGAGAAGTTCAGCCATCAGAGTATGATAAAACTGCGAATAAATGATTCATCCAACAAGAAACAAGGATCGCTGCATAATAGGATGGCTAGTTACCAATATTAATTGATCGTTATTTTTCTAAAAAAAAGTGCGACTGAAAATTATGATATGCAAATATTTTGAATAGAATTTAAAAAAAACAAATTACATATTCTCCGGCATACCTAGATGTTCTATTCGACTAGTTTCTGATCGATATCATAGATGGTGCTATCAGTTTAAAAATTCCATTAGAACATTTAGACACTGCGAGTAGTTACGGTGAAGAAGAAACTTTCAATTTTGCATGTGTTCTTGTTCATATACAAACGACTAAGAGAATGATCAAGAGATCTTTTCAGATATACATATCGCTTATTTTTCTTAGTGTGGGAATAATTTTTAAAAATATATGGATTTTATCCATTGAACTTCATTGTAATATATGTGCCAAGCTTCGACTTTTATCTTGACTTAATAACAACTAGAAATTGCAAGCATTTAAGTATCTTTTCTTGGAACACTGCCATCTGACAAATCGAGTTTTGTTTGCGTTTAACTATTCTATTGCATTGTACTCGTATTCGGCATTTATATGTGCTAAGTGAATAGTTTCAATTGCTCAATTGAACATGCATTTCACAAGATGAAGACAATGCTCCTTCTGGGCATATAATATTATACTCAACAGAACGCTGAGATTCCAATATCATTAATGAATGAATAGCCATATTATTATTTTGGTGTTGGTGACAGTTTAGTGGTTTATGCTGTCATAAACGTAGAATAAAACAACAAAATGCGTCTGCTGACCAACAATGAGGAGAGTCAAACAAGTGAAAAGCTGTTTTGCTTTACGTTTCTTTTTTATTTTGTTACATATGACAGCCAAGTTAGGAATTTCTTAACTTACATCTAATGATTCCGCAAAACCCTTATGTGTATTGAAATGTGCATAAATGACATTGATGTATGTGTTATAGTCATTTCTTACTACGGTATATCAACCATTTTTTCAACAGTTTATATGTAAAAATGTCACTCTGAATATCGTGAGACATACTTCTTCCTTTTGTTTAAGCTTATTTTGTTCCCTCTTTGAATTGAGTTCTCTTTTCTGTGATGATTTTAGTTCTATCTTTGACCACTTCTCTTATCATTCAATTTCTATCCAATCTTTCTTTTTCTTTCGTCTTTTTACTTCCTTCTTTCTTCTTACAATTCCGATTTCTTGTTTTTTCGTCGACTGATATTATTAAGAAGTCTTTAGAGTCGAAGAATGCACATGAAGGGCCAAAATAGCAATAACAAGAATCACGGACAAAGACAACAAGTATCTAACTATACTTCTATTTTAAATTAATTATATTAATATAATACAGGTTTCAAATAGTCTTTGGATAGTCATAATTTCTATGCATAGTTCGATTGTTGATCATTTCCATTGATCAACAAACTTTTTGCATTAATGTACCACGAGGTTCAGTTAAACTTACATCTAGTATTGTAATTGAGCCAAGAAACAATGTTTACATAGACTTAGCTTGAAAGTAAAATTAGCAGTACTAATGATAACTTTCGATTAATTAGTGACATCCACACATTTTTTCCATTCAATATTGTCATGTTCATATAGATTGGTGACATGGAAAAGAAATACAAAAGAAATCTTTCCGTGACTTTTAAAGATCTTGTGAATGAGGTAGGCTACAGCTGAACAGTTTTGTCCATCAATATCATGTTCAAAGCAATGTCTATGATTATTAATCTAGTTTAAATGTAAATGAACAGAATGAAATGTTTCAGTAAGACTGCTATCAGCGAAACAAAGTTTAATTTTCTTTTGTCATTCAATTGTGTTAGTTAGTCTATTCGAAACCTGATAATCATCGTTCATTAGTGTAATCATTTATTGCTCGGCGTAGTTGTAAGACAATGCAAACGATTGATTCTGATAGTAAACAGTTGTATTTGGTTTTATATCTATCAGTGAATTACACAAACTACTCGTAGCTGAAACATGTTCATTCGTCTTCGACAGATCGTCCAAATTTTAATAATCATCACATTCACTGATGTAAGATTTGTTCACATTCTATGGAAGAGTTCTTAAATGACAATTAGCAACAAAAAATGGCTTAAAACGGACGGTATTACGTTATTTATTTGTGAAAATATACGATGTTGGAAAAGTGCAAAAAAAATGCCGACCTTTTTGCTGCATATATAAGGTTCATACAATAGAATGATGCCCTACAGTACTAAACGATATCATCAGCTGCTATAGCTAAGATGTTATTTTGTTTCGTGTGTAAGGGTCGCGTGTGACTACTCTCTTCACCCGAATCGACAACTACGAACCGTCATTTCATAAAAATATTTGACATGATACAATCATTGCATTTGAAATAAACTTGTTTTTCATGGGTGATATTCAATATAGCATTTATTTATTTAACTAGATTAAAAAAAGAAACATTTAGATGTCAGTCATTGAAAATTCGAGGATATGGAATGATCAGCACCAAATGTAATCATTGCAAATAATAATACGTGTATAATATTCATTCGTGTAAACTTAATTGAACACGGAAAATGGACACTAGTATGTTTTACTTAGCCTGAATTTGATCGAACAACGAAGAATCGTTTTCAAGTGAACATTTGCATTGTTTCTATATGCTTTATCTTGGTGAAAACTGTTGAGCCCGGTTTATACCAATAGGTGAAATGATATCTAGAGAATTTATTCTTAGAAAATTTGTCAACTTTGAATGAAGTTTTCAGAATTAACTATTTTTAATTAATGATACTCTTTTGTTGTGTATTTTCACGAATTTGTAGTAGAATTTAAACATACATCAGTGAAATAAATAATTAAAACAAGCAACTTTAAAAAATCTGTTCTAAAATAGGTCTGAAAAAATTTTCAAAAATGTTTCTAATTAATCAAAAATGAAAAAAGATGTTATAATATTGATAATTTTTGGTCGAATTCATCATATTTTGTCATTTTATTTTAAACTGTTCGACAGCTTCACGATATTTATATTAGTGACAAAGAAATCATATTGATTAACAAGAGCATGGTAGATCTTTGAATCGGCAAGCAAAACTTGAGTTGAAAGTGAAAATATCGAAAGAAAAAAATTTGAAAATTGAGGTGGCGACTTCTGAATATTTTCTCGTTCGGAAAAATTAAAAAAAGAAGTCAAACAACTAAACTTGAATCATATTTCTATTGTTGAAAAAAGAAAAAATGAAAGGCAAGCAAAAATACTTTGAACTATTAACTTATCAATCTGAAATAATGTCCTTATTGTACAATCATAATTTAGGTTTCTGCTACAAGTAAAGAAAACCCGTTGAGAAAATCAGATACGGTAATGAAATAATTATTCTACCGATGGCACGTGCTGATTCGACTTTCTGATGCTGTTTTTCTATTTGGATGTGGATGTAAGCGCAGCTTTAGATGAGTACGCCGGCGCTTATAGTCATATCCTCACCTACATTCAGCCACACCCATAGTTTATACTTTCCACATTTTCTAATCTCGACCAAAGTTGAATTTACTCTTTGTATCTGATCGATAATTTGACCATGTGCATGATAAGTTCGTACTTAAAGTTTCATCATTTTCTAAAAACTCAAACATGTACAATAACTCAAAACTAAAACGTTATAATATATGAAATTACAAAATATTAAACCTGTAACATTCATTTTTTACTGAACATCCCATCGATAACATTGAAAAATTTTCTCTATGTATCAATAATCTATTATATACAATCATAGTAAATTATTTATAAATATTTAATCATAACGAACACAAACCAGACTATATATTATGTATTGATGATCTGTCTCGCGAATCCACGATGATCATTTTTTTTGTTTTCTTATAACAATGCAATATCATTGAGTAACGTTTAATTACGGTACCAGTTCAATGAATCTACTCTTGCTGCTGCTATCAATATGATTTTTAATATACTAAAAAGATGAAAGCTTTTTATTGTACGTAAATGTTACAAATGCGTTGTTACGAATCAATTATTTAAAGTTGCATTCATTATCAAGAGTCTAATTCTACTGCTAAGTAGAAATCAAATGAAACATTGGTTTAAGATATTTTCATTAGAAAAAAATCTTTTTATTTCTCAATCCATATCGATAATCGAAAAACGATGGCAATTGTAAGAAGAAAAAGTAAAACGAAAAAAACAACCTCTTATGTGTTAGAAGAAAAAACATCAAAAGATTTAATGCACAACAAACATAATGCTCACCATATGTCAACAGAGAAAAAGAAAGTATTTGTGTTGACGACAAGCAAAAGAAATTTAATCATTAAACGTTCGCACTTGTTTCGTTTCTTTTTTTTTCTAATTTCGCATGACATCACGTAACGATTATCGATATCCATCCAATGTGGATAGACATACAAAGCAATCAAATGGTCATGTACAACCAGATGATAATCTTCAATATAATCCATGGGAATTTGAAAATCCTTGGTCACACAACTTATGTAATTGTACAGAACAATGTGATGAAACATGCTATGGTTTATGGTGTTTTCCTTGTTTTGCGTGCCATCTAGCTTGGCGCATGAATGAATCTTGTTGGATAACTTTTTGTCTACCTGGTTATTTAGCTGTGTTAAGAACAAAAATGAGAACAGCATTTCGTATTAAAGTATGATTAATAAAAACAACAAAAAAAACATACTAATTATTTAGAATGCTTTTAGGGTTCATATCTTTCTGATTTTTGTGCTGCAGAATGTTGTCCATGTTGTACAGCATTTCAAATGGCTAGTGAATTACGCTTTCGAAGAGTGCTCAATTAGTATATTAAATGGTCTGTTTTTTTTTGTCGATAAAAATTTTCTTCAAAGAATTTATCTTAACAATAAATATAAAATATGGAATGCTTTTTGTTTTTCGATATATAAATTATGTATGAGATTAAAAAAAATATGTGCGAGA